ATTGCGCCGTGCAACCGCGAGAAGCCGAGGGCCGGCTTCTGTTATACACGTCGCGGACGCAGACGTGTCACGGGGCTGCAGCAAGGTGATGGTTCGGACAGGGGGACACCAAGGTCCTTGTGCTGGCAGTCCTCTTTCCGTCACATTCAGGGCATCGAGGAGCTGTGGGTGTCCATGGGACCCGGGACAGCGCCACAAGATGATACCAACACAGGATTTTGCCCAGTTATGCTCATAGTTCTATCAAATATAATGTGAGGGAAAAGGGGAACTGCCAGCACAAGGACTTCGGTGCCCACTGTCCGAACCATCACCTGCTGCAGCCCCGTGACACGTCTGCGTCCGCGACGTGTATAACAGAACCCGGGCCCAATCGGCTTCTTCGGGGTTTTGCACGGCGCAATGCCGTTGAAGTCACGGGACATTTTACTCCAGTGTAGCGCACAATTTTTAGCGCCTTGCGAGTACTATGGCAAGGACGGGCCACTCTTGACCGCCATGCTATAGTTTTGGGGTGGTGAACACGACTTAAAAATTTTCCCGACGCAGAGACTATGAGAAGACAGGGCCGGTCTCGAGTAGCAGCTTTTCAAAGGCTTGGGGCCCGGGCGTGGATGATCGAACCGTTCGAAATACGGTTCAAATACCCCGCATACAATCTAGAGAAATTTGGTGCTTTTTTCCCCTTTTTAAGTGTAGGGAAGTCTACGGGGACAGACGGTTGCGACGGTTGCGAGGGAGCCAAAGAACGCTCCGGCTCAGGATGCGCGAACCCCCCCAGACCGTAACCCCGCACCTCGCGGCGCTTTGAACGTTGCGCTGTGGGCCTCGCTAGGGCGAGCAATGCCGCAGACCACTCGATGGGAAAACTGACAAAACAGCGCACATTTTGGGATTCCACTTGGTAGAAGGTTTTCCGAGGGAAAAGCAGTCAAAAACGCCCATTTTCCCCTCAAGTGCCCGGAAGTAGGCAAACCCCCCTGGCAGCAGTCTCTATAGGCGACTCGATGGTGGAGTCAGTGAGTGACCCCCCGCAAAAATTTAAAAATTTATATCTTAAAATTTAGGGTGCTTTTCCGGAGGAAAAAAACCCCGTGGCCGGTCCCCTCCATTGCAGCCGCCTGCCGCCACCGGCCGCGGCCGGCCCGGCGAGGGTCGGCAGAGCGGCGGAAAATGCCGCCGCGCGGCACTCAAATCGCTGTAGATCGAGAACCATTGGGTCCTATTTGCGATCCGGAACACTCCAGGACGGGCAAGAGAACAGCGCATCTCGTGGTACAAAAATTTTGTACGGTGTGTAAGCAAAAAGTTCAAAACCGCAATTATAGAAACTAGAAACACATTTTTTGCTGTGGACCCACAATTTAAGATTTAAGCGCGCCAATTTAATTTAAGCTTTTCCCCGTGTGTCCGAAACCCCCCGCTTTAACGGGTTCGATGCGACTTCTTGTTCCCCAAAATTTTAAATTTTTCGCCTGTAGGTAGGCAACCCGTTTTCACCCTGTTCCGGCGAGTTGGCGGAAAGTCTCCATAGCCATTTTCATCAGGGCCCTCTAAACTACGATTCCCGTTTGAAAACGTTTCGATCAATTTTGAAAAATAAACGCCTCTTTTTGAGTTTATTTCCCCGCCCCTAAAAAAAGCTCGCTCTCGGTCGGCGGCGCCATGGCGGCGCTGCCGCGATGCCGTGCTGGCAGTGCACTGTTCTGCCCGCGGCGGTAAGTCACGCCGAGGCCGCCGAGGGCGCTGGAGCCTCCAGTGGGGGGCGCCGCGGCACCTCGTCTCAAACGAAGCGCCGCGCCGCGCCGCCCCGCGCCGCCCCGCCCGGCTCATCAGAGGCGGGCCCCGAGGATGACGCGGTGCCTCAGACAAAAGGAGCGACATCCTGATCCTGCCCCATCCTGCCGTCTCCGCCAGTCCGCGGTGCCGCCCGCTCCCTTTTACACGACTCATCCTGTCCGCCCAGCAGACTGATTCCGAGAGTCGTTTTCGTCGCAGCGTCTCTCTCGCACTCGTCGGGCGGCCCGTACAGGTGCGAGAGAGACGCTGCGACGAAAACGACTCTCGGAATCAGTCCGCAGGTCTCGGCCACCGCCAGCACCGCACCTTCGCGGCCGGCACGACTCCTCGCAACACTGCAGCACCAAAATTGACTGCTCAGCACGCCTCCCGGCGGGCCGAAATTGTAAATCATTCCATGAACTAAACTGCCCGCTCACGAAGCGCGCGTCGTTGCTTCTCACAGTGTGCCCTGGCCGCCTCTGACCGAAATGCGGAGGCTGGCCGGGCCCTGGCGGGGCCCTGGCCGCGCGGCCGCCCTTGGGGCCCCGGATGGGATGGGATTGGCCGCTGCTGATGGGCCTTGGCGGCTGCAGTCCGCCAGGCTACGCCAGGCTACACAGGCCGGCAGTCCAGCCCTTGGCCGCCTTGGCCGGCCGTGGCTGCACCAGGGCCATAGGGCCATAGGCAATTGGCCGTTCGAGCGATCGATCCACGGAGCGACTTTCCCGCGCCGCGCCGCCCTGCAGCCTTTAGGGAATTCCGACGCAAAGTAAATGGGCCGTGGGCGTGCCGCTCTGGAGTCTGATTCCGGACCGTTGTTTCATCGCTGCGTCTCTCTCGCACCCCAGCGGAACGCCCCAACGAGTGCGAGAGAGACAGAGCGACAGAGTTCGGAATCGGCCTGAACCGCAGCCCAGCAGCCGCGGCGGCCAGAAGGGCCGGGGAGGTGCGGCTCCATGCAGCGCGTGACTGCACGGAGTGCGGAGTGTCCGTGGAGTCCGCGGTGTGGTGTCCCGTGCGGCGCATGGCGGCGCATGGCGGCGCGGGAGGAAGGGCTTCCTGCGATCGGATAAGCCGACGTCGCAAGCCCTTAGCATGCAGCCAGCCAGGCAGCCAGGCAGCCAGCCCTGCAGCCAGCCCTGCAGCCAGCCCTGCAGCCAGCCCTGCAGCCAACCAGCCAGCCCAGCCAGCCCTGCAGGCAGCCAGCCTCCCCGTGTCGCGAACGCTCCACTCATTGGCGATCCTCGGCCATTACATTCGCATTCCTCGCGGCCTTTTCTTTTCCCTCGTTGTTTCCGCCGCAGTCAAGTCGAGTCGCCGGAACTGAGTAACCCCGCAAAAGCGCGCTCCAGCCTTTGACAGCTGGAGGACTGCAGGCCGTCCAGTCGCAGCAGCGGTCACGGCGTGAGTCAGACCACCGCCGCCAGGTCCGAGCAGAGCGAGACAGTCGTCACCGCCGTCGTCGTCGTCCAAAGTGCAACGAACGCCAGTCTCACTATCTGGCCTCGGCACGCCCGGCCGTCGCGCCGTCCCGCCGTGCTTATTGGGAAAACAAACACTGCCATTCGCCATTCGCCGGCCTGCAACAGGCCTGCCGGGTACTCCTTTTCCTCGCAGGCGCGGATCCAGGGGAGGGGGCGATGACGGCGTCGCCCCGCTGAGGACGGCCAAAACTCGCACTTCGCCCCTGGAAGTAGGCAACTTTTGGTGCCCCCGAACCCGCCTCCGGATCCGTCCATGTTTTCCTTCCGTTTCGCGCAGAGCGCGCGTCTGGAGGCCTGGAATGGGTGCATCGGCGGCTTGGTCCTGAACGCCCTGAACGTCCTGGCGGCTCGCTTGGCTTCGCTTCCGCGTGCCCCCGCGCGTCAGGTGGCCGGCGGGCCGGGAGGGCCGGGCCGCCCGGACCTGATTGGACGAATTGCCGATTTCGGTTTCGATTCCATTTCAGCGGCCGGTTCGGCCCGTCACTCTTCTTGTCACCTCTTGGCTGCCTCCGCCTGCTCCGAATGAATATCCAATGCTGCCAACCCCACCAGCCTCGCCGGACCATTGTTTTGCTTTTGCCCTGCTGTGCGGGGAGGCCTCTGCTGCTGCTGCCGCCTGCGAGAGTGGACGTGGGGCCGTGTGGGTGTGAAGAAGCGAACACGTGGACGAGGACCGAGGAGGGGAGCGTTTTTGCCAACGTCAATGTTGCCAAACGTACGAACGTGCGGCGGAGCCGAGAACGCCGTCCAAATAATAAAATCCTCGCGATTTGGCCTCCCTGAGTTTGCGACTTGCGGTTCGCCCAAAGTTACAGGCAACCTGTCGCAAATATACGGCGAAGCAGGCATGAAGCATCGCAAGCGACCGAAGGAAAACCATAAATGCGGATGTGATCCGACCCGCAGGCCGTGGCAGCCAGTGTGTGGTGCCGAGCCGAGCCGAGCGAGCGGGGTCCAGCCGGACCACGCGATGAGCCGAGCCGGGCGGCGAGGCGGCTTCCCTGTGACACTCAAACGGACTCGCCGGCCCTCCTGGCCCCGCCCCGCCCCGCCCCGCCCCTCCTGGCGTTCCGGCGACGTCCCGCCAGACGTTCCGAAGGCGTTCAACAGACGTTCCAGCGGTTTTCCAGCCGAGTTTAAGAGGCGTTCCAAAAAAGGCTCGTCCCCGCAGCGGACCGTCCGCCGCGGTGCCGTCGGTGCCTCGGACAGCCATGCAGGCAAGCACGCCGACAGGCACGCCGACATGCAGACCGAACCGACCGACAGTGCGCCGGACTGGACCCAAAGCATCCGTGTCGAAAAAAATAAAGAATACCGCAGGAGAAACAACAAAACGCCAGCGGCACGGCTGGTATGAGAAATATTTGACACCACACGTGTGAACGGGGAACGGGGTTGGCAGCCGTCGGCAGCCGGCATGCGTTGTTGCCTGGAAGTGTTGACTTGGGGCGGCGATACCGAGAAGGGCGGCGGCGGCCCTCCCGACTCACGGTGTGGTGGCGTGGCTTGGCCACAGCTTGGCGCTGGAACGGAATGCCGACATCGCAGCTTATTGATAACGCGCTGGAGAGTTTGGTAATGGTGCCACAAAACTTAAGAATAGCGCTTAACACTCCCAAGAAGGATCCCCAGCGATCGGGTGCGCTAAACGAGGAAAGTACAGTCCTTGGCAAAGCTGCTTAAAATGCCTCTACTCGGGATAAGGCCCGATGCTATGCCATATGTATAAAGTACCTCATGCTTTGGGATGGAGACTTCATGCCGGCGCGGCCTCGCCAGTGTCGCCTCTCCAGCGGGCAGCGGGCATCCTTAATGTAATCCGGTGGTCACTGATGCACTCACACTCGCACAAATCCACACTAACACACACGCACTCGCACTTGGCGGCCGTTGGCGGCACAGGGTGGCTCGCGTCCGGGGAACCCCCTTCACGACACTGATGCACTCGGAGCACTCGGCGCCTCCACTGCAGTCTCGTGGCCGGGGTGGTTGCAGTTCCTGGAAACGTGACGGCAGTTCCAGGAGAACTCTGGGCTATACGCGATTCGAGGTGCCGGCTCCGGAGCAGTGCGGGACGCTCCTCACTCTGGCTCTGCGACTGACTCACTGAATGCTGTCCCTCCCTCTCCCTCCCCTCCCTCGCCCCTCCACCCTGGCGCGGTCTCCGAGACCGGCTCGGCGGGGCAGGCTCGGCGACGGCCGGACCCCCTGGCGCCCCCGCCGGTGCTCGGCTCGGCACGCTTGGCCGGCTCGGCTGCGCTCGGCTCGGCTCGTGCGCCACTCGTGGCGCGTTCGGGCCGAGCCGAAGTCGGCCGAAGTCTGCCGACGACCGGCCTGACGACAAGACGGCCATATACTCCGTCCGCCCCGCCTCCCCTCTCGCCGTTCGCTTCCTCTTCGCGGGTCGCGGGTCGCGGCACTGTGGCCGCGGCGACCCGAACGCGCCTCACCACAAAGCCACCCATCAGCTGGACGGCTGGACTTGAAGCAGCCACCGCCTGTACGCGACACGCGTGCTTGTCACGCCCGGCGGCCCCTGGCCGGCCACGCCACCAGGAAATGACTCTATTTCAGCACGCGCGCCCTGCGCGGGGGCGGACGTCGCGGTGCTCTACTTCGGCTGCTCTGCGATGTCGCCGACGTGGCTGGGGTTGGGGCGAGCTCGGGTGAAGCTTGGGGCTCTCGGTGACAATTGCCAGCGACACCGAGGTGGGCGTGATCGCCTCTCGGTGGTCTGTGTGCGACGTGCGACGCTGTGCGTGTGCCGCTTGTGTGGCGGGCGGCGCAGGGCGGCGACGGGTACCAATCTACCAATCGGCCGGCTGGCGTGTTGGCGACTCCTGCCCACTCCTGGCCGCACGGCCCGCACGGCCCGCACCCACAATGAGCCATTGTTTGGACTGAGACACTCAGACAGTCCGCGCGCGCGGCGGACAGCGGCCGACGGCGCCCCCAAGTCCATAAGCTCACTGCAGACGGTGACGTCACAGGAAGGGGCGTCGCCGCGCCGGGGCGCGCGGGGCACGGGGGTATTATATGCCGACGCAGTGCCGCCGCCGCACGCCGCCGCCGTCAACCGCGTCTCGTTTTTGAATGCTAAGCAGTTCTGGAAAAAGGCAAGAAACGGCCAATGAATCAGAGCGGCGGCGACAGCAGTGCGACAGCGGGCCCAAGCCGCAAGCCCCGGCAAGCCGCAAGGCCCGGCAGGGCCCAGGGCCCTCCATCACACGGACGCGGAGATTGTATCGAATTCAAGGAGAATAATCATTCGGCGTGTGCAGTCCCAGGCGCCCCGGCAGCCCCGCCCCGCCGCCAGCATGGCTGCCAGCCCCGCGTGGCTGGAGTCGTTCTTTCAAAGAATGGCGGCGAGATAGAGATAACGCAATACCGCGGCCAGATCGACGCAGAAGCAGTCGCGGCTGGCGGTGCCTGGCGGTGGCTGGCGGCGGGCGGAGCGGGCGGCAGGGACTCAAGGCACTCAAGGACCTCGATTGTCTGCTGTCAAGTCGCCGCGCCGCGCTCCTCGACCGACTGCTTCCACGGAGCTCCAGACGGGCTCACTCCACTTTTCAATTTGGCGACAAACCTCGACAAACCTCGTCACGTCCCGTTCTCAAGGTGACGACGAAAAGGGAAGGCGGCTCGAAACGTGACGGATTGGTCGGCGAGGCGCAGCGGTGCAGCCCGCAAGCAGTGTGTCATTCCACACAGCGCTTCGACGCTCTGTTTCTTTTGCGCGCTTTTGCGCCTTGCAGTGCAGGCGCGGATCCACAAAGTCACACATTGCCCCTGTGAGTAGGTAAATTTTGCTGCACCCCCTTCCTGAACCCGTCCCAGGATCCGCCCGTCCGGATTGCTCCTTGGCTTGATGAGTGCGAGAGAGACAGGCGACGACGGCGATGTGTGCAGGGCGTCGTCGTGGACCTGCCTCGCTGGCCGGCGACGGGCGGACGCGGCGCGGCCGCGGGTTCGATACCCACTGGATGTAGGCGGCCGGGCCGCGCCGCATATCGCCCTACTATCTCGGCGGTGTGCCGCGCTTGCCGCGCTGCGTCCGGGAAAGCTTCTCGCCGCCTGCGGACTCATTCCGAAAGTCGGTTTCGTCGCTCTGTCCCTCTCGCACCTAGAGGCAGCGCCCCGTGAGTGCGAGAGAGACAGAGCGACGACGACGACTCTGCGCCGGCACTGCCAATAGTGGGACGCATCCGCAAACAACGGAGCGGTGCAGCCTCACGATTCGAAGCGAGGCAATGCGAGGCAAGCCAAGTGAACCGAACGAAGGCAAAGCGAGGCAAAGAAAGGCCCCTCGCCGGCCGCGGCCCCGGAGCACTGCATGGTGCGGAGTAGCGGTGAGGCGCACTCTCAGATACTTTTCATTCGGGGTGGGTAGTCCAAACAGCAGCGATTCGCTTTACCACACGGAACCCCGCGTCTTTGGAGTCACTGGCAGGGCTGGCCGGGGCTGGCAGGCTGTGCCAAGAGCGCCGTGCACAGATCAGGTGAGCGCCATGCTGGATGGAACCCTTGGCCGGGCCGCCTAGTGCTCGGCCTAGTGTAACCCGGACGCGTGTGTCTGCAGGCCCCACCGGCCCCGTAGGCCCCGCTCGCCAGGCTAGCCAACCTCGCGCGACAACGACGCTTAACGGGCACGCCGCGGAGCCATGCCGCGGAGCCATGCTGTTGCAGGCCGGACTGCCAGGCTGCCAGGCCTGCCACCACGGCGAGCCGCACCACTGCCAACTAGGTAAAACAGCACGACCAGAACGACGGCGCCGAACCAGTCAACCCGAGTCAACCAGTCACAGAACGGCCTGCGCTTTATACGCACTCCACTTTCCACGGGGGTGAAGTATTCCGGCGCATGCAGGAAAGCCCCCGCCGCGCGTAGCCGCGCCGAGGTCGGGACGGGGGGGGGGGGGACGGTGCGGAGCTGCCTGTGTGAGGTCCGCGACGAGTGCGCAGTGACGGCCGTGCACGCGTGGCCCCGCCACCGCCCTGCCGTGCCGCCCTGGCTCCGAGGGATCGTCCCTCGTCGCCCCGTCTCTCTCGCACCCCCGCTGATCTCTCGGGAGTGCGAGAGAGACGGAGCGACGACCCGCTTCGGAATGAGGCGGCGGCCGGCGTACCGGCGTACCCACTCGTACCCACTCCTCCTTCGCCTTGGCGGCTTCGCGTTGCTTCGCGTTGCTTCGCGGTACTTCGCTGCTCCATGGCTGCGACGCACCTTGCTGGGCCGAGGCGGCCGAGGTTTGCCGACCGGCCGTAGGTACACTGGCATCGGCCCTGGTCCAGCTCGGCCCCGGTCGGGCTGATGCTGCCGATGCTGCGGCCCGTTCCACTCCGTTCTCACGGTGCCACTCCCGGCGCCCCCTCCCCCTCCCCGCGGCTCGAGCGCGGCCCCTCGCTGCCGGTTAGCATGCGTCCCCACTATAGGCCTATCTCGCTCCCTCCTCGGGACGTAACGAGCGAGCCAAAGGCACCAAAGGCAGCACGGCACGCCACGCCGCGGCACGGCGCGCTCGCCAAGTACTTCGAGTACTTCCCCGTGGGCTCCGGCGGGCTCCGTATGGCTGCGGCACGCGGTGCGCGAGCGAAAATGCCGGAGAAAGAGAAGCGCGATAGGAAGGACGGGGTAGAGAGAAGGGAGAGGGAGGGAGAGAGAGAAAGAGCAACTTGCGTCATGTCACCCCCACTCGAAGAGCTCGGCCAGCTTGGCCAGCTTCGCCAAGTGGAGAGGAAGGTGCGCTGCCCGCGCTGCTCCGAGTCTCCGAGTGCGTGGCGAGTCGCGGCGAGTGGTGACGCGGACAACGGTCGTCAAGGAACGACATCAACGGTTGATGGAAAATGGACCAGCGGACGAATCAAAATGAATGAATCAAGTCCAGAGCGAATGAATGAATGAACGAATGAACAAATGAATGAATTGATGAAAATGGACGAATCGAAATGAACGACTGTGTGATGATGAATTGGTCAAAGCGATTAATGGATAAATGAATGGGTGAATGATCAAACGAGTTAATGAACGCGCGGAAGAATGAACGGGTGAACGAATGGGTGGATGAATGAATGAAGGCGAATGAATGAATGGATGAATGAATGAAATTATCCAAGGCGCGTAACGGCGCGAGCTGCATCCATGATTAGGCCGTGCCGTGCCGTGCCGCGCCGTGCCGTGCCACGCCGTGCCGCGCCGCACTTAATCCTTGTCGTCATTTGAGACCCGAATGGCTTTCCCGATTCCCTTGACAAGCCCAGCCTCGCGCGGCCTCGCGCTCCGTCTCGCTCCGTCTCTCTCGCACTGCGGCCGGGACTGGTCGGGCCGCCGGGGCGAGGCGAGGCGCGGTGTGCTGTTTTGGACACGCCGCACCGCCGGGCCCGCCGGGCCGGGCTGGCCGGGCAGGGCAGCACCGCCGGCTCCGAGCCAATCTATGGGATTCCAAACGGGTTTGGGCCACTACCCCTCCCTCTCCCCCTCCTGCCTCTTCCTTATTCCCTTCCACGGCCGCTATGGGTCACGTCCGGGCAGGAATAACTAGCACCTGAGCCCTCGTGTGTTTCCAGCAACAACAACAACCAAAGTGGTGCCGGCCTTCCCTTCCCGGCCTTCCCAAGCGTTAGACCATTTTTCCCAAAGTTGACTTCGCCGCTCTTCTGCCGCTTTGGTTTCGGCCCACGGCCCACGGCCCCGCCCCGTCCCGCCCCGCCTGTGACGGGCCCAACTCATTTCGGACAGCAAGACAGCAAGCAGCACGAAAAGAAAAAGTCCAGTTTGGCCGCGCCGCGGGATCAACGTTTTGTCTTTTTCGGCGTCACGCGCCTGCTGCCGCTCTTCGCGTGTGTGAGTTTGTTTTTTCAGTCTTCCTTTTTGGCAAAAGTAATAAAAGCAGATGTATCTAAAGAGCAAGGGAAAGGAGGTGTTGTGTGCTGACAGCAAGATGCAAACCACAGCTCTGGGGCGCAGTGGCGGGGCGGGGTGCGAGGCGGGGCGGGGCGGGGCGGGGTCAGCGCGCAACCCAGTTGCTGCCGAACACGTTCTGAAAGCCCCCCGGGTTATTAATTGGACTTACTTTCACGCTGCGGCTGCAAGGAATAAAACCC